GTCAAAACATAAATTCTTCAGGCTTATCTTATGCTTCTATTGTTAAAGTTTATTCATAAAGTTTTATAGTTGCCGTAAAGATAACCACATGCTTGTATAAAATCATCAATAAACTGCAGAGTTAAAAAAGAGCTACAGGGAAAAGTATGGGTTGGAGAAAATTTATAGACTGTAAGGTATCTAGAATGTATATGTAAATCTACCTTATAAATTACTTTATTATTAAATAGCTTCATTGATAAACAAATGACCAAAGTGGCTAAATGAGAAACTTATGATTTTAGAAACTAAGAAAGTATAACAATGGTCAGAAGAAGAAATGCATTGATAATCTTTAGCTCTGAAAGCTGAGTATTTTTATTTGTCTCTAGCATTTATGTTATGTATAATCAAGTATTACTGGAGAAAAATTAAGAAAGAAATTAACTGAAATTTTATTAGAAAAAAATTTAGGGAGAATTCCTCAATTTAAAAAAATACCCATTCAGTGAAAGTAAAAACATTTCTGGAAACATCACCTATCTTTGTTTTATGGGTAGCACTCAGAACCGGGAGGTTCAGAGAGCTCCCGGCATCACCTATCTTTCATCCCATCACCTGTCTTTCGTCCCATTCTAAAGAATACATACATGTGTGATTTTATTTTAAAAGAACTCATTTTCTAACAGAAAGATAAATGCACATAATCAAATTTTAAATTTCATCCTTTGTCCAAAAAAATTCCATAGCATACTTCAATCATGGTTTACCTGTGCAGGAGGTGATTGTAGTGGATTGTTATCTAGGGTGATCATCTGTAGGTGCCTGAGGTTCCGATAACAAACAGGGATTGTTGTAATTTTATTGCATGAAAAATCTAACCGTATCAAAGGCAACTCTGCCAGCTCTGCATGGAGGTAAAATGGAAATTAACAATTAATAATATTTTAAAACCAGACAATTTTTATAAAAGCTTCTAGTTAAATATGGTGATTTAACATAGGTATTTACCTCCATTCTCTCTTAGTGATTAAGTGGCAGCAACAAGGTATAAAATAAAATCTAGTTGCCTACAGATAGGAAGACTAATAAAAGGCAAGTAGTTTGATTCCTCGCAGAACTATAGAAAAGGCTCAGAAGCTGGAGGCTCTGATACCACAAAAAGGTAAGGATAACAAAAGGATTAGTTGACAGTTACGTAAAGAACAGTTAGATGCCTCAGTCCCCAACCTCAACTCACACAGCTGGGGAAATACCCTTCTACAATCTCCCCAGCAGTCAGCAAGTTATTCTCTAGTGAAACTGAACTGAAAACACTCTGAACTCAGGGATCCCAGGCACGATGGAAAGTCAGGATGAGTTGCAAATTGAATATGGAGGAATAAAGTGGAAGTCTACACGCTTGATGGCAAGAGCTCAGCACCTTCCCATCCCATCCTACTTCATCCCTCGCTCTTGAATGCCAGTAGTTAGGAATGCACACAATAATGTAGAAGAAATGGAGCATCTGTCTCTGAAGAAACTATCCAGATCCATATAAAAGGACTTTAGATATTGATATGGAGTTTCCTCTAATAAAATACCCAGCTTGCTGCTTAATTACCATTATATGCTTTTTGCCAGTATATTCAGAACTTCTAGTCAGTTATATACAGACAGTATATGATCCACAGACATTTAGAGAAGTCTCCAACATGGAAGACAGAAATCGAAACCAACCAACCAACCAAAAAAAGGAACTCAGAAGAAACAGGTAATATAAAGGAAGCAGAAGGAAATTTTGAAAAGCTAGAATTAATATCTTTAGTTTCAGAGAGATCTTTAGTTTTAGTTATGAATCACTGAAACATAAAAGGGATTTTTTAAAAAATATCACAAGATGGCCGGGCGCGGTGGCTCATGCCTGTAATCCTAGTTCTCTGGGAGGCCGAGGCGGGCGGATTGTTTGAGCTCAGGAGTTCGAAACCACCCTGAGCAAGAGCGAGACCCCGTCT